TTTACGTGTAATATTATTTTTTGAAAAATTATGATTGAAAATTGAAGATAAAAAAATAAAATGTAATGTAATGTAATGTAATGGGGGCCAAATGGGGGCTTTATTATAATTATATGAAGTTTCATGAATTATTCAAAGTATAAAATGATGAGAATTATCCAGCACAAAATATAAAGAATTGAATCATTTATGACAGCTAAAACAGAATATACAGATTATTGGGCCAAATAAAAAAATAATCCAAATATCCATTTCTAATTGGCATAACGTCACTGTATAAACTATTAGAATAAACATTTAATTAATAGACATAGTGACAAGTGTTCTAATATTTTATTGTTATAATGTCGCTATTACTTAAAAAATAAAATAGACATCTTTAAGTACCAATGTGTTAGCCATCAATATTAGAGAGACCGAGTTCTGCTAACCAGTTTAGTGCACTTGACAACGAAAGTGAACTTCATTCATCTATAGGACTTTCCTCGGATTCTGTTGTTGCCGCTGATACGAAAGCCACTCTCTTTAATGGTATTTTAGATTCCTTACCTTTAAGGGATGCTGATAAAAAATATGACTTGGCAGCCTCTTGTAACGAGGAAAACCTTGAAGTTAGTGGTGTGGAATCAGCTTTTGGTTCTTCTCTTGCCAATTCTGCACAGGCTGCTAATGAAGATGGCAATGAGGATCAAGATCCTGTATCTGTTTCTACCGTTCAGGGTACTCATGAAAGTACCACAAGATTGAAACCGGACTTGAATCAGAAGGCTGTCCATGAGGTAGGACGGGATCTTGTGGCTTTTGCTGATTCTTCTTGTGAAGCCTTGGCTCTGAATACAGCATCCAATGAGAATTGTGCATAATCTGGCTAAGATTCCGATAGAAACAGACCAAGCAATATTAACCTTGTAATTAGGAAGGAAATACGAATGTGACATTTTGGGGGCAATGCTTACACTTTAAGATATATTCGAGTTGATTTGCATGTTCCATTTCTCTCCAAGAGGTCACTGCCGTTGAGGATACTAAAATGTAATAATGCAAGAGAAATTATAATATAGTTCCTAAATTGTAGAGTTTAGGAAAGATGATGTCGACTCAAATGGTCAGTACTCCATTAGTCTATTACCCTTCATAACAGCTGTGTATTGTATTCGGTAACCCTAATCATCAATAGAAACTAGAATCAAATCAGCGTCGTGACTAAGCGCAGCTGATTTTGGAATATATATTTTTTATACACCTTGTTCTATTCCACACTTGATTTAGGAAACCGTTGAACTTCATTTGGTATGCTAAATTCTGAAGTAATGAGAGCATGTTTGGCCGAGTTTGAAAGTTATTTTTGCTCAGTCAAAAGCAAACTGATCGACTTTTAAGTTGCAACCTTGTGAATACAGATATTGGTGTTCAAGAAAATTGGAAGCTACCTTTGAAATTGCAGGGTGAGGCAATGGAGGGATACACATTACGTAGGATCGTGAGTCGGGTTGTAATGTTGATGATGTGGCAAAGGAATTTCGGAAGGTACCATGAGGTTGGAATTTGAATTTGAATTGAGTGATGATGCCATATGCTTATGCTTGATGCTTGAATGTATATATAGATATAACTATTCTATTTATCACCTGTTTAGATATTGGAAAGAATAATGTTATCTATCATTACTAAGGGAAAATTGCAGCAGAAGTCCCAAACCTTTGAAACATTAGCAGAATTTCTCCAAATCTTTGATTTATTGCAACCGTCACCCTTAACTTTTCCAAACGTTGCAGATGAAGCCATTTTGGATGATTTTTATCCACAATTTCGTTAGTTGATCAAAAATTTAACTTTAACCACATTTTTAATATTTTTAAAATGGGTAAAAGAGTAAATTTCCATTTATCACCTTAAATAATAATTAAATAAAAAAAACCCCACTGTCATCTTCTTCCTCTCACCCCTTACCCACCGCCCACTTGCAACTCAAACCCAAAATCACACCCGTCGCCGCCACCTCCATCGCCTCCGTCACCACCATTGAAGATCATTAGGTTGAGCACCATCACAGAAAGCCCAAGTTTCACGGGGTGCCTCTCTTCTTGGCACAGAAAGGGACACCGTGCGACAGTAGTCTGCTCCGCTAAACTACTTTTCGCCTTTTCTCGATTGCGTCGGGACGAAAGAAAATTTGATTGCAATTTTGTAGAAAACTTACAATAGAAAATTTGAATACATTGAAAGTAAATTGAATATTGATTGATGAAAACTGAATAATACAATTGATGAAAGCAAAAAATTACAAATGCTGGTGCAGGGGGCGGACATCGGTGAACTTGAAAGATTTTTTGAATGACTAATACCCCCTATAATAGCATTCTGAACAAAAATCTAAGTGACAGGAGTAGACGTTTAAAAGACGAGGAATCATACTAAACGTTTATACCAATATCAGAGCTATTTTACAACTGAAATAACTATTACAATGAAAAGAAAATTACAACTCAAATTTGAAGTAATATTTACAATGTGCGGCTGAAGTTGGGCAAACTGCGGCTGTGATAGTGTCAAGTGGCTAAGTAAAGCTGCAGTCCTTGACATTCTCCCCCATTTGTTTTGGCGACGTTCTCGGTGCCATCAATGCATGATATGGTTCAATTAATGGTTTGAAGGCTCCGAGATCTTTTCCTCTTTTCCAAGTATTCTCCTCGCTGTTGCATCCCATCCATTTGACCAAGTACTCCTGATAATCTTTTCTAGAAGCTCGAGTGATTCGATGGTCAAGAATAACTTTAGCTACCTTTTTTCCAGCTTTCTTCAGTTCAAACACAGGTCGCTTTGGCTCATTTCTAGACGCGTCCTCCTTATGCGCAAAGTATGACTTCAACATACTAACATGAAGGACTTTGTGGATTTTACACCATGAAGGGAGTTTAACTCTGTATGCAATTCTTCCAATCCTCTTCACGATGGGTAATGGTCCGATGTATTTTGGTGACAATCTTAAGTCCTTCCCTCTTGTTGGTTTGTAAACATTTCTGTCGGGGAGCTTAACCATTACCAGATCTCCAACATTGAATTCAATGAAACGGCGCTTTAGGTCTGCAGCCTTTTTATACAGTTTTTGAGCTTTCTCAAGATAACTCCGAGCAATTTCAATATTTCGTTTCCACTCTTGAGAAAAGTTCTTTGCTTGAGGGGACTTGGAACTTCGTTCGACATCCACTGTATGAGGGAGTAGCGGTTGCTGGCTAGTAACAATCTCAAAAGGACTCTTATTGGTTGAAGAGCTCTTTTGGGCATTGAAGCAAATTTGGGCCGCATCCAAAAGTTTTACCCAGTTTTTCTGCGAAGTAGAGATAAAGTGCCGAAAATATTCTTCTAGTATAGAATTGAAGCGCTCCTCTGTCCGTTAGATTGTGGGTGAAAACTAGAACTCATGCTCAAAGTTGAACCAAGAAGTTTGAACAACTCAGTCCAAAATATGCCACTGAAACGAGGATCTCGATCACTGACGATGTCCTTAGGCAGCCCCCAGTATTTGTCAATATGTTTGAAGAAGAGTTGAGTTGTCTCTTCCGCAGATACATACTTAGGCGCTGCAATGAAAGTTGCATATTTTGATAGACGGTCCACCTCGACAATGATAGTGCCAAAATCCTCAACTTTTAGCAACCCAATAATGTAGTCCATCGATACACTTTTGAATGGCCGGGTGGGGACGGCAAGGAGCTCTAGCAAGCCCGCCTTTTTCTGATGATCTGTCTTATCTTGCTGACAAAAAAGACAGGTTTTTACATATGTTGCAATCTTGTCCCGCATTTGAGGCCAGTAGTATGCACGTTGCAGTAGTGCACAAGTGCGACCCTCTCCGGGATGCCCTGCCCAAATTGTGTCATGGCATTTTGTAATTAGTGATTTCCTCATATCTGCACCCTTAGGAACATATAGGCGATCTCCCTTTGTCTTCACTAGTTCCCCATCGAGCCAGAACTGTCGAGTTTTACCCTACTTGATGAGGTCGACCAAATATTGGGTAGCCGGGTCCTTCTCCATAAGTGCCCGAATTTGCTCTCTAGTGTTTGTGGAGACTGCGCTCCCTGAAAGAGCAGCTACAGGGCAGATGACAGCTAAATCGGCCCATCGACTAAGAGCATCAACAACATGATTACTAGAGTCGAGACGATACTCTAACATAAAATTGAACTCTGAACGAAATTCCTGCCAACGAGCCTGTTTGCTCGATAGTTTTTGTTGGGACATGAAGTGACTAACTGCAGTGTTATCTGTCTTCACAATAAATGGAGACCCAAGAAGATAGTGACGCCATTCTCTGAGACAATGGACAACTGCTAACAATTCCTTTTCATGTGCCGAGTAACGACATTTTGTCTGGTTTAACTTCCGGCTCTCATATGCTACCGGATGTCCTTCTTGCATGAGGACTCCACCAAGGGCAAAATCTGAAGTATCTGTATGAACTTCGAATGGTTTAGTCATATCCGGTAAGACTAAAATCGAGTTCGTCCGCATGGACTTCTTCAACCTTTCAAAAGCAGCTTGGCATTGGGATGACCAATCCCAGTTCTTATCCTTCTTTGTCAATTCAGTAAGTGGCAGTGCAATTTCTGAGTAGCCTTTCACAAATCTTCGATAGTAATTGCATAACCCAAGAAATGAACGTACATCATGTACGATTTTTGGTGGTTGCCAATCTTTGATGGCGGTAACCTTCTTCGAATCCATGCGGATTCTACCTTGTTCAATGATGTGACCCAAGAAACTGATAGATGTCTGAGCAAATGAGCATTTAGACGACTTAGCAAAGTTCATTCTCTCGTAGCCGATTAAAAACTTGCCTCACATGCTGGACATGTTCCTCCAATGTCTCGCTATAGATTACTATGTCATCCAAGTACACCACGACAAAATCATCTAAGAACCCGTAAAGTACTTGATTCATCATAATACAAAATGTTGCTGGAGCGTTTGTCAAACCAAAAGGCATCACTTTAAATTCAAAGGCTCCATATCTGGTTACCACCGTAGTTTTTGCTTCGTCTCCCTTCTTGATCCGAACTTGCCAGTATCCGGACCTAAGATCAATTTTTGTGTAATACTTCGTGCGACTCAGTCGATCGAAGCAATCCGCAACCAGTGGGATAGGATAGCTATTCTTTACAGTAATCTTGTTCAAGGCTCGATAGTCACAGCACATTCTAAGAGAACCATCGGCCTTTTTTCTAAAACAATACAGGAGTTTCGTATGGCGACTTCGCAGGCACAATGATTCCACTCTCCAACATTTTCCCCAATTGCTTCCTAAGCTCTTCAAGCTCAGGCTGAGACATACGGTATGGTACCCTGGCGGGAGGTTTGGCGCCTGGAATAAGTTCAATCTCATGATCAATCGTCCTTCTTGGTGGTAATTTCTTTGGTAATTCTTCCGGCATGATATCCTCAAATTCCCAAATAAGCCTTTTAACGGGTTTTGGAATAGGACCATTTGCTTCTTTGATCTCCTCCAATCGAAGAGTGCATAAAAAAGAGGGTTCATTTCTCTTGAAACCCTTACTAAATTGCATGGTTGAGATACTCTTCTCGCCCATCCTCCCAACTTGTGTAGGGATGACACGTGGCTTATTACCCATCATCATTAACGAATCAGAATATGGCAACACTGCTGTCTTAGTATCCCGAAGAAATTCCAATCCTAGAATAAGCTTGAAATCATCCATCTGAACTGCAGATAAATTTGTCCTTCCCTCGAAAGGACCTACTTTGATTAACATCGATTTCGCCACTCCAGCTATTGGTTGAGCAGCGGCGTTGATTGCTTTGACTTTTCCACTACCCTTTTCTAGAACAAGTCCGAGCCGCTCTACTTCGGTACATGCAGGATAATTGTGGGTAGCACCAGTATCCACCATAGCCCTGATTGGCTTCCCATTGATTTTTACATCAATGTACATTAAGCTTTTGGCCCTACAAATTCGAGCCTTCGCTTCTTCCATCTTTGCCTCTTTCAATGGGAAATCATCCTTTTCAGCAACCCGATGCAACAGTGTGTTGCACCGATGTGAAAATGCCCAACTACGTCCTCATCCTCTTCAGAGTCAGTCTCATTATGACAATTAGCCTACGGGGCCTCTTGCTTTGAACTTGACCCGCCACTTGCTAACTGACAATATGTATTCACCATCCGCTTTTGAGGACACTTCGACACCCGATGAGGTCCATCACATAAAAAGCACTTCAATTTGGGAGTGGCATCAGTTCGGCCCTCTGTTGCTTTTCCTTTGTTCCAGTTGTTACTGTTGTTGCCGTTAAAATTTCCTTGACGGCTATTATGATAGTTTTCCTGAAAGCCACGGGTGCTTTGATAGGCTCTTTCTCTATTCTGAGAGTAAAGCTCTCCCCCATTTGGGTTCGAGCTGGGTCTGTAAGATCTGTTACCACCTCCATTTGCTTGATTACTCCCCGAAGGTCGATCTTTTCTAGATTCTGTTTGGTAGTCGCTCAAGCATTCAGCAGCTCCCATGGCCGTGCTCAAATCAGTAACCTTCTGTCTTTGAAGTTCTGTGCGTGTCCACGGCTTCAACCCTTCCATAAAGGTGAAGAGCTTATCATTTTCCGACATATCTCGAATATTCAGTATATGCCCTGAGAAGGATTTCACATGCTCCCTGATAGAGCTCGTGTGTTTCAGGTCTCGAAGTGCCCGTCGAGCCTGATACTCGACATTTTTCGGAAAAAACTGCGATCTGATCGCTTCCTTGAGGAGATCCCAAGAATCAATTCGAATCCTGTGGGCCTGAATGTCAGCATATTTGGTTCGCCACCATAGTTTTGCATCTCCACCCAGATACATGGTAGCTGTGGTTACCTTTCTAGCTTCGTCTTCGATCGAAGCTGTTAGAAAGTACTGTTCCATATCAAACAAGAAGTTTTCGACTTCTTTTGAATCACGTGCCCCTCCGTAGGTACACGGTTCAGGAATTTTGAGCCTAGGAGCATACTCGGGTACGGGAGCTTGCCCATTGCCCACCGCACGTTGGAGTACCCGCAATTGAGCTCTTAACGCTTCCATTTCATCCTGCAGATCATGAATGATTGCAGCAGCTTCAATCATTGCTGCGCAAGCTCTTTGGCTTTCATCCAATTAAATGTGTAATCCACGAATCTCAGATTCAGCCATCTCGACTTTTTCCTCGAGACCTTCCATAGCATAGTACAATCTAGTAGTTGTCTCATCAAGTGCATCCACACGCTGTTTCGTAGTACCCTTCTTTTGAGGCTCTACCACTTCAGTGGTCTGGGATGTAATTGGATCCATAGATTTCTTATCGAGGGTTGTGAGCCGCAGCTCTGATACCAACTTTCGCGGGGTGCCCTTCTTCTTGGCACAGAAAGGGACACCGTGCGACAGTAGTCTGTTCCGATAGACTACCTTCCGCCTTTTCTCGGTCGCATCGGGATAAAAGAAAATTTGGTTGCAATTTTGTAGAAAGCTTACAATAGAGAATTTGAATACATTGAAAATAAATTGAATATTGATTGATGAAAACTGAACATTACAATTGATGAAAGCAAAAAATTACAAATGCTGGTGCAGGGGGCGGACATCGGTGAGCTTGAAAGATTTTTTGAATGACTAATACCCCCTATAATAGCATTCTGAACAAAAATCTAAGTGACAGGAGTAGACGTTTAAAAGACGAGGAATTATACTAAATATTTACCAATATCAGAGCTATTTTACAACTGAAATAACTATTACAATGAAAAGAAAATTACAACTCAGTGAAGTAATATTTACAATGTGCGACCGAAGTTGGGCAAACTGCGACTGCAATAGTGTCAAGCGGCTAAGTAAAACTGTAGTCCTTGACACCAATCTTGGAAACTGTTATCCCCATTTCAGCCCCTTTCTTGAGCATATCAAAGACTTTATATCTCGATGCACCCCACACACTTTCCTCTACCGATAAGAATTCCATCCATTCAAATGCACAGATGATTCTATATTCCCATTATCCACAAGCACGAATCTGGTGCCATTAATACCTACAAAGCCCATTTTGGGAGGACTCCATGTGATGATTGGAAAAGAAAAATATGGAGCTATTGAAGTAATTCAGATAGATGAAATCCATAAGGAATATAATGCCTATTGCAGGGTATTATTTCTTGTCCCTCTAATTTGAGTCCATTGTAGGGGAAATTTAGTGTTTGAACTATGATATACAAACCTTGAGAGGGACGGCAAGAATCGTATGTCTGTATCCTCTTGTTTTCCAAGATTGCAATTTCTGTGCAACAGATGATGAGGCTGCTGTAACTTGAAAAGTGCATAGAGTCGGGACATTTGCCACTCACAGAGAAGGATGTCCGAAATTTGCTTGATTGAGGTGGAGGTGGCGGTGGTTGGTCTGGATTTTAGGTTTGAGATGGGGGTGGAGGTGGGTGAGGGTGACAGGAAGAAGATGGCAGTGAAGGGGGGTTTTAATTTCTTATATTTTTAATTTAATTATTATTTAAGGTGATAAATGGAAATTTACTCTTTTACCCATTTTTAAAATATTAAAAGCATGGTCAGAGTTAAATTTTTGGTCAACTAATGGGATTGTGGATAGAAACCGTCCAAAATGGCTTCACCTAGAACGTTTGAAAAAGTTAGGGGTGATGGTTGCAACAAATCAAAGATTTGAAAAAAGTCTGCTAATATTTCAAAGGTTTGGAGCTTCTGCTGCAATTTTTCCTATTAATAATGATCATTGTCAGTCTTGATGATTTAAAGTGGTACCATGAATTCACCCCTCCCAAATCAAAGTCGGAATAAACTAGGCTGTTTTCTCCGATTTTGTCTTATAAATAAAAATCAATTAGTTTTGGCATAGTTTTCGTCTAGCTATAGATACAAAGCCCCTATTTGTTTTTCATTCTTTCCCCATTAAAATGAAAAATATAACCGTTATCTATTATATCAAGTCATCAAATTTGAATTTCTATATTTTGTGTGGAGTTCATAACGGCTATAATTTTCATTCTTATTTTTACAAAAACGGGAAACAAATGCCTCCAAAGTCTTTTTATTATTATTATTATTATTATTATTATTATTATTATTATTATTATTATTACTTTATTTGGATGTTTTGATTCAATATGAGTTGTCCTTAGCTATGTGGCTATAGGTCGTTTTGTTTGTTCCTACCTTTTCTCATTTTGTTTTGCCCAGGAATACCTGGTGTAGATGTATATGCACTTGATTTGGTTTTGTAAGCTTGGGAATGTCCGATGTACGTGTATATGATTTTGATCAATATAATTCACTTTTCCCGATAAAAAAAAATGAAGTTTGATTCGATTCTCAATTAAGCCCCCATTTGGCCTCTATTATTTGAATAAAAATGAGTGAAATAGTATTTTGTTTGAAAATGAGTGATTGAAAAAGAAAGAAAAGTTTTCGATTTACGTGTAATATTATTTTTTGAAAAATTATGATTGAAAATTGAAGATAAAAAAATAAAATGTAATGTAATGTAATGTAATGGGGGCCAAATGGGGGCTTTATTATAATTATATGAAGTTTCATGAATTATTCAAAGTATAAAATGATGAGAATTATCCAGCACAAAATATAAAGAATTGAATCATTTATGACAGCTAAAACAGAATATACAGATTATTGGGCCAAATAAAAAAATAATCCAAATATCCATTTCTAATTGGCATAACGTCACTGTATAAACTATTAGAATAAACATTTAATTAATAGACATAGTGACAAGTGTTCTAATATTTTATTGTTATAATGTCGCTATTACTTAAAAAATAAAATAGACATCTTTAAGTACCAATGTGTTAGCCATCAATATTAGAGAGTTAGGAATTTTGAGTTAAAAACACATTTATTTAAGAAAAAGTAAGATATATAGTTTCGGTCTCGTTTTAACAGTGATTTTTAATGAGTTGACGTAACGAATAATATTGGTAGGTTACATGTTTGCACTTAATAGAATTACATATGAGTTATCGTTGATGTTTATTTATTGAGTGACCATTACTTTAACTGTTAGAACTTGAATGCTTATTTCATTAGAAAATAATTAGGGACCATTATCGTAACTATTCAAAACTTCAGTTACCATTAGAGTAATTTAACTTTAAAATTTAAAAAAAAAATGATAAATCCTTTTGGGCCTGGGCTCATATAGGGAACATTATTGGATATTGTGCGATTATGGAATTTAAATAAAGTTAATTAATTATAATCGTGATTAACGTTGTATAAACAAGTCCAAGATTTATTCTTGTTCAAACGACAGATTTGCACACCTAACACCTCTGACGTTTCCTTTTTATAGAGGTCATTTTGAAAGTTTTTAATACGATCCTTCAGCCCATCAAAAGGTAATTTCCGTTTTTAAAAAACGAGAGCTATAAGTTGTTTATATCTGAAATTGATGAGGTAGTGACGCACTGTTGTGTGTTTATATAAACATTTCCATTTTTTAGAAGAATTTTTTGGTTAATTATTGTTGAAGTTTGATAAAGAACTGATACTGCATTCCTTTTTTTTTTTTTTTAATCAAGTTTTAATGATAATTATAATATGAATTAGTTTGTTTGTCCCTTTCATTTGACAATGTGTATTTGTATATATGATATACTTTGTGTTCGAGTTATTGAGTACTTCGCATTTCGACCTTTTTGAAGAATAAGAAGAACTGTCAAATTCCAAAGCAACTTAAATTCTTAGCGATTTGATTCGGGAATCGTTACACAGATATGGCGGATGAAAAGGTTGGAATTGCTAAGGATGTTACTGAAGTAAGTCTCCATAAATCAGTTTCCTTGTTTATCTAGTTTGATTGACAGTAGGGTTCACTTATCTTCCTTTTTTTCGCCTTTTTAAGTTCAATGTTTGCGACTTCTTGTACAGCTGATTGGTAAAACCCCTTTGGTGTACCTGAACAATGTTGTCGATGGTTGTGTTGCGCGTGTAGCAGCCAAGCTGGAATCAATGGAACCATGTTCTAGTGTTAAGGATAGGTATGGCTACTTATTCTACAGTAAATCTCTACAAACCATTAACATGCTTGATTTCAGTGCCCCCAAGTTTAGGTCTTGACCTTTCTTTTTCACAGTCTCTCTTTACTTTCTTTAGTGTTGATAGCTTGGTATTTGATGGCCATTGTTATGTTCAGGATTGGTTACAGTATGATTGCCGATGCGGAGGCTAAAGGACTCATCAAACCTGGGGAGGTTAGTTATTAGCATCTCCATCATCTACAAATACTACTTCAATATCGGGTAATTTATAGCAAAGAAAAAAATTGACCTTTTATTGTAAAGTGTATTCTTGGAGATATTGTGGTTGGATCTGAATTTGTTTTGTTTATTTTTGTTACAGAGTGTTCTCATTGAGCCTACTAGTGGTAACACTGGCATAGGCTTGGCATTTATGGCAGCAGCAAAGGGTTACAAGCTGATCATTACCATGCCTTCTTCTATGAGTCTGGAGAGAAGAATTATTCTCCGTGCTTTTGGTGCTGAGTTGGTGCTCACAGATCCTGCTAAGGGAATGAAAGGCGCTGTTCAGAAGGCGGAAGAGATAAAGGCCAAGACACCAAATGCCTACATTCTCCAGCAGTTTGAAAACCCTGCCAACCCTAAGGTGTCTATCTTGTGTATTATTGTTATTCTTTGTGATGTTATTGTTTGTTGATAAATTTTTGATTCATCACTTGATTTACTTGTAGATACACTATGAAACTACTGGACCAGAAATCTGGAGAGGAACAAATGGGAAAATCGACGCTTTTGTTTCTGGAATTGGTACAGGAGGCACAATTACCGGTGCAGGGAAATACCTTAAAGAACAGAACTCTGAGATAAAGGTTATCTTGACATTTAAATTCGAACTGTAATTTAGTGCTTTATCTAATTATGGACCTTATCCAACAACTTTTATCACTCATATTTTAGCTATATGGCGTGGAACCAGTTGAAAGTCCTGTTCTTTCTGGAGGGAAACCAGGTGAGTACCTTTCATTGTATGTACCCTGTTCCAAGTACTCCGGTCATGAGTTGCACAATTTTCTTGTTCTGGGATTGATCCCTTTTTTTTTATTGAGAGGAAATCCTAGAGATCCATAACCAAGTAAACATGCTCAAAGAGAATAACATAATATATTCTAATTTATAATGAAAGGCTCTTTTCATTGTTCACTGTTAATTGCCCATTGTATGTTAAAAATTCTTAGGAATTTTATGTACTTGCATAAACTAAATTGATTTGATTTTGTCTCTCTACACTAGTTAAATGTAGTGAGGCATCGCTAACCAACTAGACATATTCGTTGGCAATTTTTTAACTATTTCATTTATACAAATGTTGTTTTTATGACGGCATAGGTCCACATAAGATCCAGGGAATTGGCGCTGGTTTTATTCCCGGAGTGTTAGAGGTGAATCTCATTGATGAAGTAATTCAGGTAAGATTCTGAGTGGTCCTCTATACTTTCTGTGTGTGAATTCTTTTCTCTCATGTAAGTTGTGGGGATTTGGAGTAATAAGCAACATTTGCAGAATTGCAGGTATAACTAATGTATTTCATCTGTTTCTTCTCCAGATTTCAAGTGATGAATCCATAGAAACTGCCAAGCTTCTTGCATTGAAAGAAGGGTTACTTGTAAGTTTAAAATGCAAGTCTCTTGATGAGTTGTGAAATTGTTCTACTTTATCAGTTTCACTTTTTCCAAATTTATACCCTTGTAATGCTCATTCTGGACAAGCAAATTCTTAACTTGGAAATGTATGCTACAGGTAGGGATATCATCTGGTGCTGCAGCTGCTGCAGCAATTAAGATAGCAAAACGGCCAGAGAATGCTGGAAAACTCATTGTTGTAAGTCTCTTTACTTTCTGTGTCTTTGTTTCTACAAGGTCAAGAAGATAATAATACTATAGTTGAAGGAAAGAAAATGAGGCCCATGAGTTTCCTAGAGTTTGTGATCTGGTGATTTGAATTGGTCTTGCTGATCCAAGAAAAATTTAGTCCCCTTTGGTTCACTCGAGAATGTGACTCATGCATGATCCCTGATTGTCACCTTTTAATGACAGGAGGTGACCGTGATGATTTCTTGGTACTAGATCTAATTCCACGGTTTTCTCCTGTATGTGCGTCAACACAAGTGAGTAGTTGTGTGAAAGTAGCAATGGAAATTGTCATCCTTTTATACAATGTTTTCTCTCAAGAATTGCTCCCTTCATCTCAAGTTGATAGCTCCAAATTGTCTACGAAGAAGATGTCCATGAGTTTCCTAGAGGTTGTGATCTGGTGATTTGAATTGGTCTTGCCCATCCAAGAAAAAATTTATTCCCCCCTTTGGTTCACTCAAGAATGCGACTCTTGCATGATCACTGATTGACCTTCTTAATGCTCATAAAAATGACAGGAGGTGGCCCTGATGATTTCTTGGTGTTCGATCTAATTCCACAGGTTTCTCCTGTATGTGCATCCACACAATTTAGTTGTGTGAAAGTGGCAGTGGAAATTGTCTTCCTTTTATACAATAATTTCTCTCAAGAATTGCTCCCTTCATCTCAAGTTGATAGCTCCAAATTGTCTAGGCACAAAATTATAGGAGATGCTTACAATAGTACTTTTACACTTTTAACTATGAGTTAAATTAAGTTATATAAGTTAATCCTATGCTAAAAAATCTTAAGTAGAAATTTTAGCAACTTCTCCCCACGTCCACAATCTCGCCCAATGGTCACCACTCTAAGAATATTGCTGCTCCCAATAACCCATCCGCCCAAGTCTCAGATGGAATCATGGACCACTAGGAAAACTGAGAAAGAAATCAATTTGACATCATCCTTATATTTTGGCAAGGCTTTTATCTTAGGTTCCCCATCATGAAAGGTGAATTGGTGAGATGGCACAATGATGGCAGACTCTCTTCGCTTTCCTAATCTGCTTTAGAGGATTTTTTCGGTTGTTGTGATTTGTTAGCTTTGTAGGTCAGTGATGATTTTTTGCCGGTAAGATGATTTGGTGGTGGTGGTGAGGGCACAGGGATAGTTGGTTTTGGTTACTAAGTTTTCAGTCCATAAATTGGTTGAAAGAGAATTGGTTCTTTTTTGATTTCATAGTCAATTATAGGCAATAAGCTAAACCTTGCTCTTAATAAGAGTTGACTACCCAACTCCTTTTTCTTTACTCAATCCAGGGCTACCCCTACTATAAGGTCAAACGAAATCAATATGTACTCATTTGTGTTGTTTTCCATGCTTAAAAGTTCAGTAGATATATTGAATGATAAAAAGGGAAAAGAGCTTGGCAATTCATTCATTACCTAATGTTTTAAGAAAGTAACTTGTAGTAAAATAATCCACTTGAGCTGATTGTCACTATTCATCAACTTGCATACAGGCTGTTTTCCCAAGCTTTGGAGAGCGGTACCTTTCTTCTGTTCTTTTTGAATCAGTTAGACGAGAGGCAGAGAACATGACTGTCGAGCCCTGAACATGTTTCCCTGGTCTTCAATCTGAGCAAGGATTTTCGAGAATGCAATACTTTTCTTTGTTTGCAAGGCTAATTACCTCCTGCAGGATACTTGAACTTCTTTCAAATAGCTGATGAAATTGTTGGAAATAATACGAAGCTTCTGTTCATGGGAATGATGGGAGCTTATAGTGGTTCTGCCATTTTATTTCATTTGTTTGTTCGTGTCTTCTAGCTATTTGTTAACAATCGAAAGACTTCTGCATTTCATTTCTTCAAATAAATAATTTTATAATGGAGTTCGTGAATTTTGCAAATGTTTCTTGAATATTGTTGCTTCTTGATTTAGTTTAATTTTGTGGGTTTTCTATTTTACAGCAATTTTTCTTGCTTTTGACTTGATTAGGGTATTGATGATATCGATTTGTGCAAAACTGCAGTACGTGCACAACTCGTTTGATTAGGTAGATTGTACCATATTGATTCTTGAATCAATTCTTCTAAACTCATAAGCAAAAAGATTCTATTACATTGCACTTCTGCATTCAATACATTGAAGATTGAAAATTATTTAAAAATTTCTCACGAGGAATGAGAATTGAATAGATTCTTATAAGAAGTTGGTTATAATCAAGTAGGGATTGGGCTACTCTCTAATCTGTAATCAGCAAATTGGGTTCCAAAAGCATAGAGTAGCCAAAATTCTTGCTTCATCCTTTCAATCTCTCTAACTAGCCTAAATTTCAAGAACTCCATAGATGCTGAAACCAATCTTGCATTTTCAATGAGAAAGTGTCGTCGATACTCGAGAAGCCAAGTATTTGGATCAAACTGCACCGCATTGGCACTCCATTTTCCTTGTGTCCATGAACTGTTGGCCTTCTTCATCAGGTACCTCAACTCTCCTCCATTAGACCACTGNGCATTGGCACTCCATTTTCCTTGTGTCCATGAACTGTTGGCCTTCTTCATCAGGTACCTCAACTCTCCTCCATTAGACCACTGCGAAATAGAAGTGACGGAAGTGTAAAAGATACGAAATAATTCTGCAGTACAATTCGAGCCATTTCATGAATAGGATGTTACCTCTGTAACTCTCCCTGATATAACCGTGAATGATCTTGAAGAGAATTCTGCTGTGAGCAATCCAGCAGTTTGCAATGGCCATCCCCAAATGCTCACCTCCTCGGTTGAGGATTTATATAAAGTATATCGAGAATTCAACAGCAAACCATCCTAAAATCCAATTTATAAATTAGTCTGAAAATGATGTTATTTTTCTCAAGTTTGAAAAGTAAGAAAAGAATTTCAAGAAGTGTACCTGATTTATTTTCCATACTGAATCAACACAAGTAGAAACCTTATTATCAACAAAGCCCTGTAACTCGTTCTTCAAGAACAATAATCTTTCATTAAAGTCCTCGAAAACCCATGATTTTTCACCCAAATTCTTAACAATATCAGATGACAATTTGGGCTTTAAAACCCCGTAAACCATACACGAAAATCCATATTCTGCAGCAAAAATTATGATGAAACCCAAAATCAACCTCACCATGAAAACCCCATATCCCAGATCTCTCTTTCTTCTCTTAATCTTTTCTTGAAAACTCGTTCTTGCAGTGGAATTGAGTGGTGGTGAAGCCGAGAAAGATCGAACTGGAACGCTCGATTTAGATTTGGGTGTCGATAAAAGAAGAGACGATTTGTTAACAGAAACAGGGCTTCTTGGAATCATCTGTTTTGAGGGATAAATTTTGGTGAATGAGCTTTTGCTAGCACTTTGTGGCATCAAATCAAGAGTGGAATTGATGCTGGCAATGCAGATTTCACATTTACAGCTCGCATCTTTTCGACATCCCGGAAAATAATAGCTATCCCGGGTTTCCGATTGGTTGAGTTCTATGGTGGTGGTAGATTTAAGTGAGGAATTGGGAGTTGTACTAATTGATTTCATGGTCTCTTGAAGGATTTGATGTTCTCTATGGAGACGATTTTGTTGGATAAATTTATTTATATTTCCTAGGGTTTTGTTTTTCTTGGGGGAGATTTGGGTAGACGCAGCAGAAGAGGAGATGTAGAATTTGAAATTTGAATATCAACGGTCGTATTACAAGCAATCACCCTCCCCCAAATAAATAAATAAATTCTAAAAAATATAAATAAATGAAAAATCCACATTTTCTTTATTCTCCTCACCTAATTAATGATGGGAGGAGATTCTACATATGCCCAAAATCTTATTTATAATTTATTTTTCAAGAAAATATCAAAATTCTATATCATATTTTTGCTTATTCGTTTTTAATTTTATATTTCCATCTTGCATCGCCTTCACATGCTCTCCATTCTACCTTAGATTTGTAAAGATGTCAAAATTTCTCTCCTTGATAGGTACTCATTCCCACCTCATTTGAGGTGGGAAATCTCTGTCCCAAATTTCTAGAAACTGCACTAAAAAAAATATTAATGAATAAATAATTAATTAACGTAAATGGAAAAATTTTAATCGCCACCCTACGTTACCATCCTTGGAGAGTTGCAAGTCGCATACCTCGTTTCAAATTGATCTCTCAATTTTTTCTTTTGATAGTTTTAGTCAATTTTTTTACAACAATACCTCATTCCTATCATCACACTGCCTCTAAAACAAAAATGAAAAGTTTGTGTTGCTTATGCATATCATCACGAGAGAAATTTAGAAGGCCTCTATTTTATAAGCATAATATAGACAAGCTAAAAGCACGTTGCGTCATAGAGGCAAGATCGCGGTTGTACTTAGAGTTGCGAGGTCAAGAAGATATAGAGCGACCAAGAACAAAAATGTTTCGGATGCTTATCATGTTTTAATAATTTAATTTTTTTGATGGGATGACCTTTTTATATTATTTATGTGGTGATTTATTTAGTTTATTGTTTCATTATTTTCTCCATGTCTAATTTGAATCAGGATAGAACGATCTATTCGGTACAATTGGAATGGATTAAACTAGTTGTATATTTCTAGTGTACATTAAGTTTGACACTGTGTGGTGTGTGGAAAACAGTGCCGTTGATTTGAATAAGTGGTTAAAATCAGTTGCCATGATTGTTGTCATGTCAAACTTAACGTCGACCATAATGTACATTTAATAGGTTTGCAATTGGAATTCCAATCAAAAGAGATGAATCTTTATTATAATAAGAAGATGACATAAAGTCTCTCCGACCATATAAAATCAGATGGACCTCCAAAAGTGGTCATAATTGAATAAATAATACAATGATTTATCAACTCAAGAGGAATCCCAACTAAGAAATAGGAAAGCGAACTGTCTATACTTGTATATATAGTGAAAGGCTTGCAGGCTTTGTGAAAAATCAGGTGGACAAACATGATGTTATGAAAAGAAGGAAGAAGAGCAGAGAGGTTCCCAACTTGGTGGAAGCTGCATCAGACGATCCATCCCCGGTCGATGGTACAGTTTTGGATCCATCCTCTGCAAGATTAAGACCCGATGAGATTATTTATTGTCTCCTTTTAAGTCAACAACATAAGAAAACAGAAACGAGCGTAAATCATATACCTGAAGGGTTTGTGTTTCGAGAATTCGGTGATCCATCAGGAGAAGCAGCAGGTGAACCAGAAGCATTGCACTGGCTGACGGGTGGAGTCTGAACATTGCAAGCCTTTGGCAGGGCCATAGCCTGGGTCTGATTTATGTTGAGTCCCAAGGAGGAGCCACCACCATTAAGGACCTGACACAAGCACTGTGGCTGGGACCGAACCACAGAGGCGAGCTGTGTGCAGCATCCGGTCGATGGAGTTGATGAGTTCCCGGATATGTAATTGAGACAGGGTGACATGCTAATCAGCACATTGGTGCAGTCGGTTGATTGTGCAATGGCGCCAGTCGAAAACAAGGTAACTAGCAAAAGTGTCATGATCATAACTATTTTTTGCTGTTCCATTGAATTTGAAGTGACGGAATTGTTACTGAAAAAGCCTGTGGAATGAGGAAATGTTTGGTGCTTGATGGGGGAGTTCTGTTATGCGTTAGGTTTATATAGGAAGTTATCTGGGTGTTGGTTGTGTGGGTCGGGTTACCAACTTCTCCTACTCTTTGAAGTATTGGAAATTTTGTTAGATATGAAGGGCTTTCAGACTTGGTCTTGTTGTTTAGTTTAATACAGAAATTATGAATTTGAGACAAATGGAACCGGCTGAGCAAGTGGGTGACCAACTTTATGCCAAGCCGAAATGTTCAATTTTTAAGAACTCTAATTTTCAAGCTATTCAAAGCTGAGATATTTGTTAATACTTTTATTCTTTAGAATAAAGGATAATTGCATGATTTGTCCTTGAATCCTACCTAGAGGTGAAAATCCTATATCCTCGATCAGGGCCCTCCGGTGAGGTGGCCCTTTTCCTTTCTTTTTCTCTCAAAAATATCAGTTGATAAGTGCGTAAAAGGTTAAAAAGTGTTGTTGGGGCCAGCGAATTATGGAGTTCGACGAATCTAATTTCTTGACCTTGTATTGTAGTTCTTGTCGAGAAGACAATAGGTGATTCAGATCGGATCAACATGATTGCAATGTATAGTCTAATCATCGTACATTGACAATTAGACTGTGTTGATATCAAAGTTTGCAGTGCAACAATCATCACAATTCACAGGACCTGCTATGTACCATGCCACACACTGAATAAATCTTTTACAAGTAGCCATCTTCTTCACCGTAAATTTGACATGGCTTGATTGCTCGATGGACCATTGTTGAGTAGTTCGAATGAAAAAAGCAACGCTATTAAAGGCATGTTTGTGCCCCTTTAATTTCAAAGAATGATGTATGAAATAGTGATTGATGTTGAAATGTGTGGTTAAAAAAGAAAAAAAAATTGATTTATGTATAATATTATTTTAATGAAAAATGTGTGATTGAAAATGAGTACTTCAGAAAAAAGAATGTGGTTGCATGGATGACAAACAAGGGCTAAATGATTCATGAGTAAGGACCAAAAAAATCTCAATGCAAACACCAACATCGTGAATTTTCACTTTGAAGAAGAATATTACAATATCAGCTTTTGGGGAGAGGAAAAAGGCAATCCAAAATTTTCACCTTGTATTTATACAAAAGTCCGCTCTCAAATTCATGAGCCTACAATCGCTAATACCCTAATGGTAGATGGCAATGTTGGACTGTAGTATAATACCTTGACAAAAGATGGCGTGTGTTATCTTCTTGTGTCTAAACTTATGTTTGATTCATGTTTATAAATTGTTTATAAGCACTCAAATCAATTTTTATGCATACATTTCAAAGGATCCGAAACTACTATCAATTTATCCACTACTCATTTTTATCCATTTATAATTTAAATCACTTATAATCACTTCTCATACATACTCTAATCCATGTCAAAATCCTGTCAACTACATTTAGCTTGTGTTTGGTTTAGTACAAATCAGATTCTTAATAGATTTCGATAAAAATTAATTAAACGTGTATTTGAAAAGTTGATAAAAAAAAAAATTGTGAATCCCATTAAATATATCGTTGAATAAATTTGGAGGGAAAATGAGTTTTCAGAAAAATGATTTTTCATGTGAAGCATAATCTCAATAGTTCAATAAACAATACAAGGCTTATTTAGCCTCTATTTGGTATGGATTAAAATTGAATTTTTAGAAAATTTTCATAAAAGGTAATTGGCACAAAACGCCCCTACCTTGAAGGTTTATTGTGAAAAACGTCATCACCTTTCATTTTTTGACATTTTTGCCCTTATTTTCATATTTCTTTGCTGAAAACATGATTTTCACCATTTTTTAATGTCAAATGATCAAAATACCCTTCTATTTAAATAAAACCAAAAAATAAAGAAAAGAAAATTAAAGAATAAATTACAATCTTACTCCTAAATGTTTTAAAAATTACAAATGAGTCCAAATAATTATTAAAATGCTTAATAGTACAAAACATCCTTACGTTTGGTTTATAGTGTGAAAAACATCCTTACGTTTCAAATTGGTGAAAGGGATGTTTTCTGCAATGAAACGTGGAAATAGGGATGAAAACGTAAAAAAAAAAAATGAAAAGTTGGAACGTTTTTCTGTAAAAAGTTTCAAACGTAAGGATATTTTTTTCTATTGCCCTTATTGAAATATTAAAAATAACAAAAACTCTCTCTCTCTCTCACCCTCTCTCTTCTCTTCTTCTCCAAATGGGCAAACCACCTTAGAAGCCAAAAAACTCCAGCTGCTGGACCACCATACCATCGGAAAGCGCTCACTTCCTTCTACACATACCACCCAACATCTAATTTTGAAATCTTCATGCCAATAGATTTGTTAGGAATTGCAAGCCAAAATACCCAACTCGCGAATGTAAATACTGGCTGCATCACCTATTTCGGAGAGACTCATAACATTTTCAACACACCAATTGACTATCCTCACTAGGGCGCCTCTCCTCATGGTCTTAAAATATCAATAGATAGTTCAGCGGTATGGAGGTTCGACAATTTGGGCAATAGTTAGTCGAAATTTTTCACTTTTAATGTGGCAGTCCCATTTGGAGAAGAAGAGAAAAGAGATATAGTTTTTTTTCTAATATTTTAATAAGGTCTAGAAGCAAAAAAATTCCTACTTTGACACTTGTGAAAAAGTCTTTATGTTTCAATTTTTTTTGCGTTTTCATCCCTATTTTCACGTTTCATTAGGAAAAACGCCCCTTTCAGCAATTAGAAACGTAGGGATGTTTTTCACAATATAGACCAAACGTAGGGACGTTTTGTGCTATTAGGCATTTTAATAATTATTTGGACTTGCATTTTTTAAAACATTTAGGAGTAAGAGTGTAATTTATTCTTTATTTTTCTTTTCTTTTTTTGGGTTTTATTTAAATGAGAGAGTATTTTAGTCATTTTACATTAAAAAATGGGGAAAATGACGTTTTTCGCAAAAGAAATGTGAAAATAAGGGCAAAAATGTCAAAAAAATGAAAGGTGGAGACGTTTTTCACAATAAACTTTAAATGTAGAGACGTTTTGTGCCAATTACCCTTTTCATAAAAGTTAATGAAATTTGTATTGTGGGCCCATGAAATATATGGTTAAAATTGATAATTGACTTTGATATAGATTAAAATTTGAGTTTTAATCGGTATCAAACAGGGGCTTAATGGTTTATGGGTTTCATCTTAAGAAAAACGAATGCAGATGCGTAATTCGGGTACTATACGGATAAGTCAATACGACTTTTTTTTGAAAAAATGGAGATACGTTGATACGTGTTTTAAAATTCAACATAAATTTATTAATATAAAAAAATTAATATAGAAGCATAATAATAAAAATAACATAAAATACTAAAGCACTTTATCTTAGGGTGTGTTTGAGCCCCATTCTTTTTTAAGAATGTATTTTAAAATAGTATATTGATAAAGAATGTATGGTTAAAAAAGAAAGAAAATTTTTTGGTTTGCGTAAAATTATATTATTTTAATGAAAAATATGTAGTTGAAAAGAAGAGAGAGAAATTGTATTTTAGGAAAATAGGAATCAAACGCCCTCTTAATCATTAATCGTCAAAACTTCATTTTCTTCAACGTCAATTTCTTCATTATTATTAAAGATAATATTTTCCAATTCTGACTCATTTAATGATAAATTAGCAATCTCAAACAATCCAACACTTTCAAGAGTATCAAATGAGTTTTCAACAATGTCCCACATTTTAGATTCTCCCTTTGAATAAATATCTAATTTTTTTATTAAAAGATGCAAATTGCTATGAACGTAAACCAATTCTTTAATTCGTGAGGTTATATTATTCCTTCTCGTAGAATGCACAAAAGAATACATATTTCAATTTCTTTCAACACTAGATGAAGAAAAAGGTTGCACAATAAGTTTTAAAGCAACGTTTTTGTGTTAAAGTTGCATGCGAACAATGAAGTATTGGATACGTATTGAAAATTATACAAAAATAAAAATAAGTAATGAAAATTTAAAAAATATAAAATTAGGTAAAATAATTAAATAAAGTACCCAATACGTATCGGAGGGGATCGAAGAGCATTGGAGTTTGGAAACGTATCCGAACCAGTACATAACAAGCTTACAAGTATCGGTGCTTCTTAGGTTTCATCAGCCACCAGAGCTCTATTTTAGAAACTTTTATTTTACTGCCAAACCATTAAACTGTTTCATTGCATCAAGTTTTAAATAAGAATCAGAAGAAATTTCATCAAACTGCAATAATTCAATCACAAAACAACCCAGTATATGAAGATTTCAACAACCATGTAATTTTTTAAGCATATCAGACGAAAATTTAGAGCTTCAGAAACTAGAAACAAACTTTGAAAACCACTCAAGATGCAATGACCGGGGCATCCTTGATAGATTCACGCCAAGCATATTCCCGCGCCCCATCCTTGTCAACAATTTTTATTACAAAGTTGGGTGGGGCCACAACCAGCCTTGATCGTATTTCCATTATGACTTTATCGACTAAGTTAACAGCTTCTTCCACTGTCATGTCTCTTTGGTAGTGCCTATCCATCATGGAGAGGGCAAAATAGGAACCATATCCAAACGCAGCCTTATCAAGCTTGTGCAGGGAAGCGATATAGTCGATAAAGTAGAGAGAAGGGCCCGTCTCCTTGTCGTAGCCAGCTAGAATGATATTCACCATATATGGATTCTGAAGACCAAAAACAAATTAGCAAGCAATATAAATAAAGATACAGAAAATTCTCTTTATTTCCCCAACAGATATTATCACTACAATCCTCGAAAAGATTAAAAAGCCAAAATTCAACAATGAATAAGTAATCTGACGGTACATAACCTCAGGCCTTATACCTTCCGCAAAGCCGTCGCGAGCTCGCCTCGAGTAAAGTTTGCGGCAGCAGCAGTTGTCAAAGGGATGCCATTACGAAATTGGTACAAAGCCACATTCTTCTGTATGTACTCTGTAAACTGAGCCCTATCACACATTTCCCAAGAAATTGAAATCACATTAAAGCAGGCACAGAGATATTGAGCTTCAGAGAACATCATAAACAAGCTTAAAAGGAAAATTGCAGCGCAATTTGACAAGCCTAAATATTAAAAGTGAAAACCCGTAAAGCCAAAAACATTAGCATAAAAAGAAACAAATTTAGCATTACGCATAATATGTAGGTAATATTATAGCACAAGTTTAAGAACCCCCTATAGTTTTTAAGACTCCCCAAATTAAAACCAAGTAATTTGCAAAAAACTAGACAATTACTCCCTTCACGTGTCAGCACAAAGAAAATCACACCTCACATTGGCACAAATAAAGAGAAACTTGAAGAAATTACCAAATGAAAGCATTATGTCTCCAAATCATTTCAGCAAAATTTCACATATCATTCAGCATTAGACATACCATTCCACGGCACATCACATCCACCCACCACAACCATACATCACTATCTTTTGCCACTATAAATCAGGGCTTGTTTTGGAAGAAGTACTAAAAGGTCCTTACAAACATTTTGTGTCTAAAAAGTTTAAAGAATTTGCTCTTTGAATAAAACCCCAAATGACAACTTCTATTACTCTTTTCACTAAAAAGGTTAGTCATGTAAGTTCGCAGTAATGGAAATGATAAAATGTTATGTTCAAAGTCTTTAGATCAAGACACCCATGATCCAAGTTAGCAATCATTCGTCATAAGAAGTCTCTTCAAGATCTGCAAATATAATAAAAGCTCCAAGCAGAGAGCTTTTAGTTAACACATCCTCCCACACCTCTAAACAGAGATTGCATTATGACAGTCGTAGCCTTTCCCTTCACAAGAAATTTTAGTTTTCATACAGTTTAGAATAAATTTTATTTTAACTGCAACTAAGGAATGAGTTTCCGGTCATGGTCATTGAGGATGGAATTATTTAATAGACAGAAGGCTTTTTTTCATTCTGATAAGAAATTCTTAATTTCCAAACCAATTTTTGATTATATATTGGGTAGTTTATGTTAAGGGATAAAAATTTCACATCGGTTAAATACCGAAATATTAACCAACTTAAAAAGATCTTGGGCTACTTCTCTTAACAAGGTTGACCTTGTTAAGATGGACCTAAGTCTTAACATGTATCAGAGCCTATTAACCTCCAACGAGCGATTCGATCTGATTATAAGTCTCAATTAATGAGCAACGGATTGTAAGATTGGTTTGCTCAAACGAGCCACCATCTTACGGGGTCGTGTCAAGGGATAAAAATGCCACATCGGTTAAATACCGAAATATTAACTAACTTGAAAAGATCTTGGGCTATTATTAAGATCAACCCCAAGTCTTAACCGTCTAAACCTTCACAACAATAAATTATTTTCAATTGAAACATTCAAATCACACATATTTCACTAGCATAATTTAGGGGCATATATTACAGCATCACTGCATTCCACCAAGATTTATCTTCCATAAACACAAATAAAAAACCCACAATTAAAAAAAATAACCAATATAAAAAAATCCAATCAACAAACGCCAGCAGAAAACCACAAATTATATACACGCAAGTATTCGAAAAAGTGAGTTATACCGGTCACCGGTTTCACCGGATGCGCCCATGAGCTTGTGGGAGTCCAGGAGCATGATCTTATCCTCATTGGTCTTGTGTAAGAGGATACTATGCACCGCCGATGAGTCCGCCACCACTATTGCGAAATCTTTGCCCACTAATCCAAATACGCTCTCCATTTTCCCCTTTTGCACTCGAAAATCACTTTTCTTCTCCTTCTAATTGAGATCTACTATCTGATTTTTACCTTTTTCTTGATCTTTTTTTCTTAGATTTGGTTACTGCTTAACTGGAGTTAAAAAAAGAACTGAGAAGGCTTCTTGAAGAACAAGGATACAAGAATCGCCGGATCGGACCCTTTTTTGATTTGTAATACGGATCGGGCACACAGACCCGTTTTTGAGTTATTTGGTTAATAACTTGTTTGCGCTCATTATAATCTTCTGATAATTAAAGTCAACTTCTAACATTAATTTTTGTACTCATTAAATTATCAATTATCCTTATATTTCATGAAATCCATTACTCTTTTTTATTATAATTTTATCATGAAAAAATCCAAATGTTATTTCAGAATTGGGCTAATTCGGTTTACATTAGATTTTAATATTTAAATTAAATTTGTTATTCATTAATGAATTGATATATCACGTGAGTGTATTTGATTGTTAATATTTTTCATGAAAAATGTCATTTTTTATTCAAATTTTCACTTTGTGCTGTTTGATCGATATTTTTTCATAGAAAATATTTTCATACTTTTAGTCAAGTGACTATATTTTCCTTGAAAATAAGGAAAATATTTTCTTTGGATGGAGTAAGCTTTTATTTTTTAGGTATTTCACTCTCTTTTTCTTTTATCTCTCTCCGTTCTATCTACCAATAAAAAATGAACTAGTATGGTCCCGTTTGATTCCCATTAGTCTAAGAATGAGAATAAAAAATATAATCAT